GATTAAATATTATCCAAACAGAACATTAAATCGCGATAACGTCAAAATGACATTAAAATGAATCGGAAATAATTTGAAAATGACTTTTAACAATCATTTTGGAGTTATTTTGATATCATTTTGATATCATAATAATAATAACTTGTTCTGCTTGGGTTATAAACCGTGCTGCAAGTTGTCTCTGACGAAGGAGAATATTCGTCGGTCATCTCTATACGATAGGCGTATGCACATATGAACTACACGTTGCATATTGTGTGCAAATGATATACAAATGATGGCATAGTCTGGCATGTTTCGCGTTCCGACGCAATATTCTCGCGCGTCGGCGCGACGACGGAAGGAAGAAACGTTCGTCCGTAGTTTTCGATCCCAGGGGCAACATCACGGCGTACTGTAGCATTCGCGAAGGCCGCTTCAATTCCTCCTTTTGATTCCTTCGCGTTTCACCATGCGCGAGGTATTTCTCCTTGGATACGTAAAAAGCACGAAGCTGGGGCACAATTCCGCGATACGTAAGAAATGTCGCGTATAAATTTACGTATTTATTTATGCTCGAAAGGAATACTGCAACGCAGAGAAAAAACCTGTATCTTATATCGTAACATCTTCACGTTATTTATGTAATATGAGAGATCAGTAATTAATTTATCTATAATTTAACGAATAGTGATCCGTTACGCTATCACGTCGAAGCGATAAACAAATTTCTTTCACTTCGGTTAAGAAGAAAAGGGCAGATAGAAAAAAGAAGGACATTACAAATTTCATTATACGTAGAACGCGGTCGTATTATGCGTATACGTCACGTAAGTGACGAAAATGTAAATCGCATAAATGCACGTTGCAAAATGAAGCGAAGGAGGTGCCACGAGCATGGGAGAGTCGATGGAACTCGATCTTCCGTGAAATCGAATTGCGACGCGGTTTTCTCTACGTGGTCGACAAGGGACGAATGTCAATGTACACGTCGCTTAGTTATGTTGTATTCCGCAGCCGCAAGTCGTTCCTGCACCAAGAAAGCACCCTTTCGCCGGGATGGAATGCGAATGAGTGAAACACCAAAACATTGAGACATTCCGCTAGACAGATATGTATATATGTATATGGAAGATTCGGGGTGGCTGAGATTCTCTTCCATTTGGATAACCGGATAGAAAGTACTTACACTAGACAGATTTGTTTGGAAACTGGACAAAAAAATTTTATGTGGTATAGTATACTTTGATTGGCTCAATCAGCATTGTACACATGTTCTTATTTCGGTTTAATCCTTATGGCCTTTCTATAATAAGCCATTACCTAAGTTTTAAGTCTTAAGCCGTAAGAAATTGACCAATCACAGTCGAATGTGAGAGAGATAATCGACTGTGATTGGTCAATTTCTTACGGCTTAATAAGGTAATGACTTATTGTAGAAAGTCTATTAGGACAAGAACACAGATTCTTGCATAACGCATAATGCACATGGCATCAAAAAATCAATCAGAGTCTTTTATTTCATGGAAAGGGAGGATTTTGATTAGTTTATTTTTTTATGTATTATGCATTATGCGTTATGCAAGATCCCGCCTTTAATACATACGATGATTTTCCGGTCCTTTATGGACCATACAATAAGTCATTCATATCCCGAATTAATTTTTATGACTTCAACAAATAGACAAAAATTATTAAGTGACTCTTACATATATTTTAACATCTTTAGGAAGTATTTGTAAAATTGTGTATTAAAAAAAATTGTATATAAATTTTATAACAATTACTTGATGCTCCTACTTTTTCAAAGAAAAGAAATGTTTAAAAACGAATGACCCAATCATGTGTACTGAGGAACATAAATAGAATTTAAACAAGAACACATGTACGATGATTGAATCAATAAAAATTTGCGCCACATAATACAATTTTACCCACGAGACAAATCTATAGATATTTTTTAAGTAATTCATATTCTGTTCCATGATTTATTTGTTTTCTGAGTTTTGTTTGCCGTTTATTTTGTTTGTTTTCTTAGTTTTGTTTGTATCGTTTTATTAAATTTGCACTTTGCGCTTTGATCATCTTGTTTTCATTATTGATATTACAGTGGCAGCTTTGTTGATGTCTTATCTTTTGCATGTAAATTTTTTTCATTCATGTTTAATTATCTGAGATATCGTAAATTTATCTTGTGTTTATGTAATGAAATTATTATTATTATTATTACACATGAATTGATTCCAATAAAAAGCTTTGAACAAGAAGAGTTATTTCTAGGTTTTTTAATGTAACTATATATTTCACGTTAATAATTTTATAGTGAAAGCTTCATGTTTACGGAGATGTATCGCTCTTATTGATAACTAAATTTATATGTATAAGACGACGAGAGGCAAGAAAGAACTTCAGAGTTTACGTGGGAGAATCTGTCGCCTATAGTTCAATGAAAAATCCCTAATCGCGTCACTCGTATTGCACCTGACGCCTTACAACACCTTGCTCAGGATTAAATCTGTGTTAATACAATTCTATCAATAACTGTTAACAATTAAACCTATGCACACGATCTGTATTTTTCTGCTTGATTGCTCGCGTTTCAATAAATTGCTAAAACTACATCACATAGAACGTAGAATTTTTAGTAATTCTATATAAATCCAGCAAGAAAAAAATACATTGTGTGCTGTAAACTTTACTTTATACATTTAACATTCATATCATACTAAACTAATGCAAAATAGCAGGCTATTTATTTATTATGTATTTGTATATGTATACTTGAATAGTGCATAATGCAACTAGATCTCTTTAAGACCCCTAAGTACTTTTCAATGCTGGTAGATTATTCGAGAAATGTATAGAGTGGAATATTGTATCACTGACATATTAAGCATTCAATTATTAAATTTGTTTAACTAAAATAGTGAAAGATATATAATAATTAAATAATTAACTATTAACATATAATAATTAAGTAATTAAGTAATTAATATGTAATAATTACGTAATTAAGTAAATAATATATAAAAATTAAGAAATCATCATCACCATTTGATGACAGCCCTTTATGGGCCAGAGCCTGCTCAATTAAATAGTTAATTATTATAATTATTTAATTCCGTAATCTATTTTTAGAATTAAATGAATACATATTTTTTCATTTCTTAAAAAAATTTGAAAAAGTTTCCTTATATTCTCACCTCATTGTTAAAAATTACATTAACATGTTTTGTTTCTATTGATAAATATTTGAATTGCAAGGAACTGTGATAAGAAACAAAGTTGTAGAAAATAAGAGTCTTATGCAATAAAATAGATCTGTACACAATTATGTAAATATTATTAAAATCTTCTCTGAAATGAGAGAATGCCCTTATTATTAGGAGGAGCTTTTAAAGTTTACTGAAGTCTTTTGATAGAAAATTACACAAAAGCACAAAATATGTATGTGATCTTTCTGTTAAAGTAAATAAAACATGAGTAGACATATGAAAAGTTATTTCGAGAAAAATTTCTGTCATCTTAAGTAGGATACACGAGTAGTGCCACGTGTGTGACCGCATAAATCACATACTATTTACTACACATTTTGCACACATAAATTGCCCACTATTTATTACTACTGCACATTCCATCTAAATTTATAGACAAGTAAAACAACACATATTATCAATATGAGATCTTAATAATGACATAAACTCTACATCAAATAATTATAAATAACACGTTGTATAAAGACTGACATAGAAAACAAAATTCTTTGCATACTCAAGCAGAACAACGAGAACAACATTATAATATCAAAATGATGTCAAAATGATTTCAAAATATCATTTACAATTCATTTTAACGTCATTTTGACATCATTTTGACGTTACGTGACTTTGACGTTACGTTGTTCTGCTTAGGTATAATGCAAACATATGGTAGTTAAAAAACTTTTATTTATTTTTTCATCTTTTCAAAATTCTCGAAATTAAGGAGGCTAATTAAAAATTTCGTTGAAAAATTATAAAAATTAAAACAATTATGTTAAAGCTGCGAATATAAGATAAATGATAAAAGACCTTTTACATCATTCGGACTGATAAATGTAGGTATTACAATTAATTCAGTACGCGATAATTAATATACGCGCGCGCGAGAGAGAAATGTATTCCATCATTATATTATATATAATTTCAATGGCTTATTTTATTTATCGGATATAATTTATTAGCTATATCTATATTATCTTTGTCGTTATTTACCGTTATTACATCATATGTTGTATTTTATGCCGAAAAATCGAATCGTCTCGTATTTCTCAGGTATCCCCACACCATCTTGAACATGTTTGCATGCACGTCGTTTCGCGTTCTCCGCGAAAGCAACAAGTTTGACCACGATCGGGACCACGTTTCTTCGTCACATTACCTTACGTAAATGTTGTGTGTGTATCCCTTCGTATTACTAATAAAACTTTCATTTCGTGCGTATCGAATGAAAATGTGCGTCACACTTCGACCCCTCGTCCGCCCCGGGTGCGGCATGGGAAGGTGAGAGTTGACGAGAGAGGGTAAGTTACGCGTCGACGTATGATTTCTCTGGCGCCCCATGAAACGCGCATGGCAGTTGGAACGGCGCGTATTTAAGGGCTGATCTCCGGCTGTTCTCGCCACTGTCACACGGTTCTCGCCCGGGCCTCACGCCGGTCATTCCACGCGGCGCTTCTCTTTACAACCCTTCGTCCTTCTTCGCCGAGCCATCGTCCACGTCCACGTCCGCGTCACGCCGACGGCGATCTCCGTTATCTTCTCGTCCATCCATCTCGCGCGTCACATCGCGAGACATCCCGCGATCCCCCGTACCATCCCATTGCCGTTTCGCACGGACGTCTGTCCAAGTCACTAAGTCAGAACTTCGGGGGTCGAATTCGGGGGTACCACATCCCTCGTGCGAATTCGCGGTCCCGTTCAGGCTGATACCGACTCGCGGTCTAACGGTGCGATAAAAGGGGTGAACGAGCGCAACGAGAAGCCGTAAGAGCCTTCTGCTTTTGCTGACCATCTGCTCTCGACGATCACCTTCTTTGCTATCTTTACGATCTCGCCAGGTTGGTACCGTCCCGTTGAATGTTTAAATCTAAACTTTCTGTATACACTAAACATTGCCTAAGCTTTAAGTCTTAAGCCGCAAGAAATTGACTAATCACAGTCGAATGTGAGAAGAATAATCAATTAAATTGGTCAATTTCTTACGGTTTAAGACTTAAAGCTCAGGTAATGGCTTATTACAGGAAGCTTATAATTTTAATTCACTTGCGCGCGCGTGAAGTGAAAGATTACTTTTTAAGAAAAAAAATTAACAATATGATCTGGATTTACGTTTTTTAAAACACTCATTGCAAAGTATTAACATCTTTTGCAGAATCTTCTTTAAATGCATGAGTCTAATGAGATGCGTTAAATGTTAACGTAAATTTGTTAATATGATTATATATAAAATTATAATATATAGTATTGTATTATAAAAGATATATATAATATTATATAAATATAATTAATATGTAAATAAAATATTACCTAGAGCTTTGATATTTGATATCATAATTGAGAGATTGTGTGCCACTCTGCATAAAAGTTACGCATCGTGCTAAAAATTCTATTCTGCCACGTCTGCAAAATTTAAAAAGGTTTATATAAAAATATGAGTTTATAACGAAATATGTTGTTAAAAACTCTTCGATATTTCTATTTTCAACATTCTACAAAATAGAAACTTATACAAAACTTAATAACTTTGTATGTTGTGCAATTCAATATTTTCTAATATGGGGACAAGTTTTTATGTTTACTTTTAGTTTTAGAAATCGGGTGTATCCACAACCTACTCTTTTCTAGAAATAACTTTTGCACACCCACGAAGAATATAACTTCATTAGGGATTGAAATGTTAAAGCGGCTTCGAGGCAATCGAGCAAACGTAATTCGTTCCAATACAGATATTTTTCGTTTTCAACAGTTGCGTTCATTCGATTTACGGAGCAAATGTTCGTTTATTATTCATTATTGGCATAACACATGCGTGTTTGAAGGCAACAGTAAAGTATGATCTTGTATCACATTTATATAAAAATAAACATAAATATAATTTTTCTACTAAATTCCAATTTTTAAAACCAATATATAGAAAATTATTAATTGCGTAGTGAAATGCAGAAAATTACAGTATTATTATTGACAGTAGTGTTTATTAACTTTTTTTACTTACTAAGATTACGTCTTCCTTTGACATTTTTCCTCGAAAGTTCTTGTCGATTGTGGTAATGAATTTATTTCACAAATAGAATTTATTTCACGGGTGGAGACTATCTGATAAAAAGTGTACTTTATATACGGATACAAATATTTTACATAAACATCATTTTAGGCGTATATTGTGTCATCTACATATAAATCGATTCTTTGTTTACGATAATTATTAAATAGCTATATATATATATATATACTTTACGTTATATAGAATTTCCTAGAATTAAGGAAAATAGAAATATATTCCTCCGAAAATTCTAATGTTCGATGGTAAAGATATCTTTGAAGCACTAATAAATTCTTAATTACGAGGAAACAAGAGCGAGAAACTTTTCCATGAATTAAATTCGAGAGGAACAAGTGCAAGACATTATTTGATACTCAATATGAAGTAGATTTTAACGGAACTTTTAATTAGAAATTTAATTAAAATTTAATTCGGCGATACAAGATGCCGAAGTTCGAAAAGTTGTGATAAATCGTGATCTACGGTCTACGGTTTTCGTTAAAGAAAAATCGATTTCGAATTTTTTAAGATGAAACGCTGTGCGCACAATTTTACAATTTCAAGATTCTATACATATCTATCATGTACCGATAACGCGTAAAACATTATCACATAGATGTGGGAGAACACCTAGTCTTTGAAAGGAATTCAATTTCAAAGTTTGACGTTTTAAGCTCACATTCGAATAAGGCGAACAAAATTGATGGCGAACGTTTTAAATGTATTTGACTATTTAGTAACGTGAGAGCTCATCTATTTTTTAAATGTCGAACTCGAAAATTGATGTCTTGAGACATATAGGATAAAACGTTGTTGAATGCTATTTCTCAATACAGTCATGATAAATGGACTTGAAACGATCTTGCGGTTCGACGCGTAAATAATTAATACGAGATATAAATTAACGTGAGTTTATATTTTGTATATAAATCTATTATAATCAGGGTTGCCACAAGATTGAAAATCAAAGAAATCAGAGAAATGTCAGGGAAATTAAAAACGGCCAGGAAAATTAGGGAAAAATTAAAGAATTTTATAATATTTTCTGAAAAATTAAAGTTCTTGGCTTTAAAGAAGTTTAATGTACATTACACTTATATAATTTTGGAATACTATCAACTTAATAATTAAAAATGCAAACAGTGCAAAGTGATTAATTAGTCATTAATAATAATTTACACTGCTATGTTAATCGATTTCTCAACAAAACATTTAACGATTTTCCAAATCAATGAAAATATAAAAAATTTCAAATTACTGAAAATTACGAAATTTTGTCTGGAAATTGGAGAAAAGTTGTGGAATCTTAGGATGAGAAATTTGTGATCAGCCTGAATTAATACTTCGGTTACGTTACACAGGAAAGAGCATTACGCCGATCATTACGAGAGATTGATTTTTCGTTCCTCAATTTGCATTTTATCATCCGTAAAACGATGAATGTTCTGCAATACGCACGGAATGAACATAACAATTGGATTACAAATCGCATACCGGTATTGATTTAATCAATTCTCTCTGTATCTATCTCTATTACTATCTCTGTATTACGTTGTATTACTATTTCGTGTAATAATATACAAGCTTGGACTGTATAAACGAGATGTAACATGTGGCAGTTACAAATATCACTCTCATTAGCATTCAATTAACGCAGGCCCTTAATTAATTATGTGCGCGTCGGTTCAGCGTTTTTATCTTTTCTTTTCACTCGTTAGTCTTTAATTTCATCTTCTTTCAACGCATTAATTAGAATCACTGCAAGGATAAAAGGGAATAAAAAGAAAAAATCGCAAAATAACTATTGTTTTAATAAAACAGCTTTGCGAGGCAACTATATACATTTTCTATATTTTTTTCTCGCGTAAAATGCCAATTAATTTTCTCAAAGCTTTCATTACTTACACATTGTAGAACGGATCAGAGAAACGAATTTTGCAAATTTCATAGAAGCCTCAAATATATATTATGTACTTTTTTTCTTTTTTCCTTTCATAGACGATATTATATATCGTCTCCTCATTCAACCTTTTACAGAAATTTAATATTGGCTAATATTAAAAGACGGTAATTAATTAGTTATGTTAAGTATTCAAAGCTGTTCTTGAATACTTTTCGTACTTCAAATATAATTAATTACTGTCTTTTAGTAATAAATTGGCCAGTATTAATTCTCACCGTGTAAACGGAGGTCATTTGTATCCAGGCGATTTTTAAAATTATGAATATGATGAATATTTTGGAAACAAGTCAGTACGCGGACGCGCCATTTTGCCCCTAAAAAAACTTGTAGGATGGGGGATACTCGTGAAAGCTCGTCATTTTCTCACTAAGGATATTCAAAATCGAGCGCGGACACAAATGACACCCCTTTATACGCAACGCATATTTGTCGTACAAGTAAGTAAAATGATTTTTTTGTGTTTCTTGACTATTTTTATAAATAAAACACATATATATAACGAAAAAATTTTTATTTAGTGTTACCTTAGAATAAAAATGGCAAATCGCTTTGCAGAAGAAGTATTACGATCTCTCTGTTCTCTTACAATGTCATTCCGGATGTATTTTTATATTTACGAAAGTGTGAAATAAGATAATTGTGAATTATAAATTTTGAATAAAAAATGAATTTTTTTAAAGTTAAATGTCAGTTTTTCATACGAACGCTTATTTTTATAAATTTCAAGATTGTAAGACTTAAATGTGCCGAACTTAAGCATTTAAATTAAAAAAATAAGCATTAAAGATGCAGCTTGGACCATTATAAGCTTTAAATTCGTATTTGTTGTATATTCACATATACGGTTTTAATAAATCATTTATTATTAAAAATATGTACCTTAAACTTTATTTTTCATTTTTAATAGATTAGATTTTGTTGATTTGTTCAAAAATGACAAATTTTTAAACATATTATACTATACTCGCATTTTGGTTTTTATATTTGTAATAATAAAATGTTTAAACAAATAGATTTATAAAATTATGTATAAATTTTTCGTTTAGAATATCTGAGAAAATTATATGAATTTTTGATATTTTTTAAGCCATTTAATTCATTAAAAAAATACGCCGGATATTAACGATATCTCGTATATACTGGGTACTAAAAAAACGTGTACACAGTGAGGATTAAATTGGCCAGTATTAGATTTCTGTATAACGGAAGGCTTTTAATCACTGCGTACATATATTACGGATCTTGATATCATATATTACGGAATTTTGAACGATATCTCATAAAAAGCTAATCTTCAGACTTCAAACTCGGAAATTCATTCTCATCCAAGTAAATATTGAGAATCACGCTCTCTCCGCTTTACAGTTTTTAAATGGCGTAACGGGGGTAAATCCGGGAGTGACCTTATTATACCGAAATTCTTTGATATTTCGAAAGCACGTGGAAAATTCATAACTGATATTGCGCGTGTAAATAGACAAAGGATCTTATTAGATGAACTTCTTGTAATAAGTTATTATCTCTCTTATAGAAATTTATATTAATAGAGGCGAATTTATCATTTATTTTGAAATTAAAAATATTAAAAATATTATTTTGATATTATTTTTGATATTAAAAATTAATAACGGTACTTTTAATATTCAAAATAAATGATTAATTGGCCAGTACTAGTATTAAATTTCTTTAAGGATAAATTTTGAGAAATCGACCAATCATAGTCGATTATTAATTCTTCTCACATTCACAGAGAAAAAGATTTGTTTGGATTCGAGAGTTCTATTTACATTTATTGCTTCATTGAAACAAATTTCATTATAAATAAATACATA